GGCAAAGGGAGGCGTGATCGTGGCGCAGCTCTTGTGTAAAATCGGTCTGTATTTTTAAAACATATGCTGTCATTTTCATGCTTTATAATAGTACCCAACAACCAGGGGCCATTTAGTAGAAAAAGAGGTGCAGGAGCTCATTAGCATAACTTATTCACATAGCTTATTTGCATATGCCACACCCCTGAAATCACTGGAAGTGTGTCAGAAGGCAACACCCACCACTCAAGCTCCACTGAACTGTTTTGGATTGCTAGCTATTGGGGGGGGGGAATGTGCAGATCTGTCCTCACAGAGGAGGGAGAACTTGTACCTATATATAACTTGGTCTTAAAAGTGCCACTGGACTGTTTTGGATTGCTAGCTATTGGGGGGGAGGGTGGAACACACAGATCTGCCCTCACAAAGGAGGGAGAGCTTACGCCTGAAGGCGGGCCGGGGGGGCTCTGCAACTTATCTGGCGACTCCTTGCTCCTCATGGCCTGACTGAGGGCTGCTGGAAGCAGAGGGTGGGGCTTGTTGCATGTGCCTGCCCCCTGGGCTCTTTACTGCCGGAGCTCTGCTCCTGTCCGCTCCTGCAGGAAATGACCCCTGCCAACAACTATTCAGTGTGAAGAATCAGAAAGAGAGACTTCGCAAGAGATTTAAATGCTACTGAGACATAATCATGTGTTGCCCTAAAAGGGAGAACAGATTAACTGTCCTCTGCCTCCAGAAGGGGGAGGGTGTGTGTGGCTCAGTGGTGAACACATTTTTGTCTTAGCTCAGGAAGAATGGCTCCAGAGCAAACTAATTTATGTAGTAACCAAATCACCTGCTCACAACTTTAATGCTAGTAGCTCACAAAGTAGAACTTTTGCTCACAGGACTCCACAGCTTAGAGGGAGCATTGATGGTGAAGCACCTGTTTTGCATGCAGAAGGTCGAGGGTTCAGTTCCTGGCCTCTCCAGTTTTTAAAAAAAACACCAGGTAGTATATGATGTGAAGGATCTGAGATCCTGGAAAGCTGCTGCCAATCAGGGTTGACAATACTGCCCTTGATAGACTAATAGTTTGACTCTGAGTAAAGCAGCATCAAGTGGGGCCTAGAGATCTCTTGGAATTACAGAGATCAGTTCCCTGAAGAAAATAGCTGCTTTGAAGGGTGGACTCTATCGCATTATACTTTGCTGAGGTTCCTCCCATCCACAAATCCACAGGAACTTCCCAACCCACAGTTGGCAACACTAGCATCAGCTGTTCAAAAGCCTTCCTGGAATGAAACTATTTTCTCTTCCTCTCTTTTCAGAAGAATCTTATAAGCTGCAAAGTACCCTTTAAAGACACATTTTTTGCCTCGCCCTTTTCAGCAAAGTGGTTGTCTGATTTGCCTCAATGCACAAACTGGTGGCAGGTCTTATCCTTTTAGCAGGCAGCTACTTCATCTCATGCCCAACTGGAACTTGAGCAGAGGCCTAATCCACATTAGTCATATGCTTTGCTGAGCCCTGATTTTATATACCTTTGAAAAATAATAACAATATTGTGACATTCTAAGTATTATCATGAAGTGCATTTCCAAAGCTTCACACAAATCCTCAATATTATCCTTACAATAGCCCTATAAGCAGGGGTCATTGGGGGGGAGGACGCGGGGGGACGCCATCCCCCCGGGTGAGGTGCGGGAGGGCGGGGCCTGGAGCTCCCTGCTGGTGCCCGCTGGAGGTCGCCGCTGGCTGTGGGGAGGACACACTTCCGGTGATGTCAGGGGGTGTGGCATATGCTAATGAGTTATGCTAATGAGTCCCCCTAGCTCTTTTTCTACGAAATGACCCCTGCCTATAAGGTAGACCTTGAGACTGTGATCACATGCACCTTTAGATCCAACATAGCTGCAAATGCCTGATGGATCTAAAGGAGACGATCAGACAGCAACATCTGGGAAAGGTCCTGCAGTCGTCAGCAACCCATGCTGCTCTGCCACAAAAGCGGAGTTAAAGGACACCGAGGAAAGTCCAGCTCTAACTGGCTGCAACGGCCCACAGATGAACTTTCCCCTGTCCCCCCCCCTTGCAGTATGCACATCATCGCAAACTCCATAGGGAGCCCTCAGTGTGGAGGTGCAATTCCTCGATTCCTCATTCAAGCACATGGGAAACAAATTGCAAATTGCAACAACAGCAGCAACAACTCACCCGTGGTTGTGTCTGATCACACAGTGACAGGCTGAGCATGCAGCTTCAAAGGGATGTGTGATCTCGCAACTGTGTGTCAAATTCCTCCAGAGGAAATAGCCTCGCTTCCCCTCCACTCCAACTGGCGTGTGTGACCGTAGCCAGAGGGTAAAATTAGTCTGATCATGCTAATCCATTCACATGAACCATAATCAAAAACATTCACAAATCCTGGACTGAAAACAGATAGATCTCCAAGTGCATACACCGCAAGTATGAAAGTCATGCAGCCAGTACACAGAAGCTCTGAAAGAGCCCATGACTTGCTTCTCGGATAGAAGGGCTTGACTTCTAAACACATCCTTCTACAGTCCTCATTTGCCCTTCAGGCTGCACCATACATACCCAGTGCATCTTTATACCTAGCCCAGACTCAGAAATCATCAGTTCTGTGTATATGTGTGTGATGTCACACACAGAGTTTGCTGTGGGAGAGCCACGAATGCCAGGCGGATTATATGGGCGTGATCACACCGCCACATCTGGCAAGCGTGGTGCACCCGTGGCCAACAGGTATTGTCCGGCCGAAGATGCGGAGTTTAAAAGTACCTGGGAAACTCCAGTATTAAACGGTTGCGATGAGCTGCAGACAGACGCTCTCCGTCTGATCGGCCCAGTGCGCTCCTCTTGCATCCCTGCTTCCTGGTTGGAGCGCGCTGGAAACAACTGCCCAAGGAAACATTGTTGTCGCATCTGATCGCGTTGGGGCACGTCAAATTGCGACGGCGCTAATAGCCATGCCTCCCCCCTGTGTTATCCAGCCCATGTGACCAGGACCTGTGAATATCTTTCTGCACTCTCCTTTTAATCCATGTCAGCCACAGTGTCCTCCAAGCAATTCTGCACTAAAATCAAATTCAACCTTCTTTTTAATCCAGGGGTTTTTTTCCATTCTGCCCTAAAACAGAGTTCAACCAACTATTTATTCCGGGTTTTCCCCCCATTCTGCATTACATTACCTCCCTTCAGTGGTCAGTCCGGTTTCAACCTGCTGTTGCCCCAGGGTTATTTGGAGGCTGTTTTGCTGTTGACTTAAATTGCCTCGACTTGAACACTGAGGAAAGCTGGAGTGGCAGGCAAATGCAGAAAGGACCTCCATGTATGTGTGTGTGAGAGAGAGAGTGTATACACACACACACATATTCATATATATTGAAACAAGTAGAGGTTATTAGATTATTTTTTTTCCGATTTATATACCACTCACCCCCTAAGGGCTCTGAGCGGTTTACATTATACAATTCATACAATTCCTACCTAAGGGCCACACACATACAATGGAGGGAAGTGACTAACCTAACAGGCACCTTATAGCGAAGTCTTGTTGTTATAGTCTCTCTGCGGGAGCTCTTTTTCAATCCGGCGACAGCGTCTTCCTGGCGCAGGTCTTCCTTTGGTCACCACGATTCCTCAGGCTTGGGCCAAGTGCACATCAGCGCGTGCTCCTGCTGCAGCCTCTGTCCAATAGGCTCCGGCCTGCTGCGTTGCCCCGCCTCCGCGCTCCATCGGCCTAGCCTTCGCTTGCTTGCTCGACTCGCCACCGCCACCATGTTCTCCGCCGCCGCCGCTCATGCTGCCACCACGCCACTACGAAGGACGGGTGCCCCCCTGCTCTAAGAGCAGGTACCCATTTGTCTACTTGCCCTTTAACGGGCTTTCGAGCCACTGGGTGGGCGGGAGCTGGGACATGGGCCGGGAGCTCACCCCGGCCACGGTGGGGCTCGAACAGCTAAAGCTGTTTGGCCAGATGGAAATGCAGGCTTCATTTACTGCCTGCGCCAGATCAAATTATCTTCTCTGCTAGAATTGCTGCAAGAACCTGCTAATGGAAGGACAGTAATGATTTTTCTGGACTCAAAATTCTTAATTATACATGTGGCACTACATTTGATCAGTTCTACCAGTGGGATTCTACAGACAGAACACTACCAACAGAAGAAGTATGGCCTCTGAATTCATTCAATCCATCTCTGCTGCTTTGTTCACTAAAATGGAAGGTGCAACAGGAGCACAGGAGAACTATTCTGCATTGTTTTTAGATTACAGAGTGAAACAAAGAAGCCAACAATAATAATAGGCAATGACATTTTAAAAAATCAGGATCTCAAAATGATCCTGATTTTTTCAAGATCAGGGAGTAAATATCATAATCATAACTGTATGGCACTGGGTGTAGTATAGCCAGGAGATCCAAAGATCATCTGGCAGCCTGAAACTCTAAGACCAATTTCCCATAAGCGCTGCTCCACACTCGCTCTTCCCTTTTGCCCCGATGGTATGTGTCAATTTCACACAAGCTGCTGCACAGCTGCATTTTGCCCTGGAACTTCGCACGATTTCCCCCGCGTCTACTCAATCCTGTTTTTTGAGGACGTGGGGAAAATCACGTGAAGCTGCGGGGCAAAATGCGGCTGCGCAGCAGCTTGTGTGAAATTGACACATACCATTGGGGCAAAAGGGAAGAGCGAGCGTGGAGCAGCGCTTGTGGGAAATCGGCCTAGCTCTTTTTGTGGCAACTTAGGTTTATTTTTGGGGCTGGCAGAACTGTGACTGACCCAAGGTCACCCAGCTGGCTTCATGTGGAGGAGTGGGGAATCAAACCCAGTTCTCCAGATTAAGAGAGTCCACCGCTCTTAACCAGGGAGTCAAATGGCAGTACACAACAATTTTTAATATGCAGAAGACCAGTGCCATAAGAAATGGCTCAAGTCTCTTCATGTCCATTTTATTGAAGATGAACCGGGGAGGAAGAGGCCAATGAAGAGAATAATGGAAAGGAATACGGATTATGGCTCTGTCGTCCATGCTACTTGCTGTTGATGTACTGGAGCAGTGCTCTGCACATTTTCCTGGAAAAGAAAAGAAAAACCACCATGATACTCAAAACAAACCATGAGCTGGAGCCATCAGAGGGTGCCACTCCCTGGCTTTTATCACAACATTTTTATCAGCTGTCTCTACCTTCAAACAGCTAATTAGATGGTTCTATAGGAATAGATGTAGGCTGAAATAATCATGTTATGAGAAAAGAAATTCACCACAGAGGCCTATTCATTAAAAGAAATTGTGGAAGGTTCCACACAGCTTTCTATGAAATATGGAATCTGCTAGGTACTTCTGGCAGAGTTATAAGTGCACCATCACTGACAGTGTAGTCAAATGGAGTTTCTTATGGCCCTGGTCAGGAACATTATTGTTGAAACATAAAGGTAGGAAGAAGTTTTCAGATGAGCAGGTATAGTGCAGTGTAGAACATCTATACCAACATTTCTCTTTCTGGCCCACCATCGGCCAGCAGTCTCCTTCCATCTACAGAGCAGAGATGCAGGGGACTCAAACAATGGTGGTTTCTGTGTGTAGATCAGCTTTCTAGAAGCAACTCTGATCCCTAAAAATTGCCCCAGGCAGACATATCCTAAGAATACCTAACTATATAAATATCAGGGACTGAAGGAAGCAAGTTATCCATATCATTCAAAAATTTTTACACCATCTTTGGATTATGCATCTGCCTTACCGTGGTAACGCTAGAGGGAGCAGCAGTCATAGATATCTCAGTAGACGGAGGCTGGATAGTTTTTCTCCTACAAATCCAGTTCCAATATGCCTCTCTCACCTGAAGATCCAAAACACACAGTGAGAATTCTCCTCTTAAAAGGATAAAGGCTCTGGAGTCTGTAATAGCTAAACAAATAACTGTTCAAAAGTGGAAAGCAATAGCTACAGCCCATACTGAAATATGAACTAGCAACAGTAGACCTGGCAGTCAAAGAAAGAGGGAAAATGTGAAATATCATAACATTTGGTCTGGATTTGTGGATTTGGACATTAGCATGTGTGTATTAGTTTGTATAAAGTATGGGATTAGCTGGTTGCTTCAGGGTCAAGCAGGACTGGGGGGGGGACTGTCTCTAATAGGCTATGGGATAGTTGTTTCTTGCCTGCTTCAGACTGTATCAGGGAACTGAAATTTATTTAAAGAGACCTGATCAGTATGGACTTATAAGGTCCTAACTGAGGGGGGCAGGTATGAAGCCAGCAGTAGCTATGGCCAAGTTTGCAACCAGGGCGGATTCACCAAAAGTTTTGGTAGGCCACTTGCTGACAGCAGTTCACACTAGAGTTAGGGTTGTTCATTTGTAAATAAATAAACAGAGTGTTTGGGGAAAAAATGAGATGACCAGGAAGAAAGAAGAATTCTATATCCAAACCACTCTAAGAGCTCTCTTGTAGAGTGGCCTCTCCTCCTCCCATGATACTAAGCAATGCAGAGGAAGTATAAGCTTCCCCGTGTCTGTATTAAATGCCTTTATATATCACAGCTTCTTCCACCTTCTATTATTTGCTCTTCCTTCGCCATATTCTTCACCCAACCCCTCACTTCCCACTCTCCAGTTGTCATATTTTTGCTCTGCTTTTGATGTGTAGCATTCCTTTTTTCTTTTCAATGCAGCCTCCTACCTTTATCCTGAAGGACTTCGGTATTCACATGGATAATCTCACTTTCTCATCATCATCCATCTTCAATTCACTCCTGCAACTCACCATTCTGGCCCTATTTTTGACCTCATTCTTTGCAAGGGTTGAGGCTCAAACTAGATGGGATTTTTTTTAGTGAGCTAGGTCAGGGCTCTCTCTCTGGATTTCCTTGGCTCCACTGTGCCCTGCAGTCAGAGGGAAGCTGCAGGGAACTAATTTCTTAAACACTGCAGGGGACGAACTTGAACTGGAACTGTGGAGTGGGGGGTACAATTTTTCTGACCCAAAATAGCCGGAAGGGAAGGGCTGCATGTGCAGTGGTATTGAGTTATTCAGAGCTGCATGCATAAAATTATTGAATTCGTTGCACTGAGTGTTCTCTTTTAGATCTCACAACTCTCTAGCCCCAATATCGAATCTCCTTTGATGCATGTTCCCATGTTACATCTTCCCACTCTCACTCTCCCGCTCTCTATGGCTTCCAGCACAGTGATCAGCTCTGCTAATCAAAGACAGCCTTGAAAAATCGGACAGAGTACTTCAAAAATCTTAATCCCACAGCCTCTAATGCCAACTGGGTGTTGCTGCCCACAAATCCCACCCTCTTTTGCCCTATACATCACCTTTTTGTTGAGCAAGCAGTGCACCAGGAAGATGAAGGCTCCCTGCACACTGTTGGTGAGGGTGAACAGATATGCCATAATATCAGCCAATGGCCCAAACTGAAAGAGGCCTAAGCACCAAGTCAAGCCCAGGATGAACAGATGGGCTATGGCCTTAAATGTCAGTGACCTGTGTCAAAGAAAGACAACACTGTAGATATCAACAGGAGAAAGAAATACCAAGGAGACAATGAGGCAATTTGAGCTATCGGAGCATAGTTTGTTGTGTGTCTGTCTTTCAATGAGGCCTGAAGTGGACAAGATGTTTTGAATTGTGCACATCTAAGGTCAATCCTTCCCCCCCCCCCCTCCATGGCAGATAGTACCCTATGTCTGATAATTGGATTAACAAATGTGAAGGGATAAACAAAAGCTTTCTGCCAGAGGGTATAGACTGATCACTTCACTTTGAAAGAAGAGATTGTGAGTCCTCCTGAAGAAGATGGCTGTTATATTCTTGAGCAAGGCCCACTTTTATTTATATTTTAGGGTTTCTCAGAGGTCCATCTTGTCCCCATGCTGTTAAACACCTATGTGAAACCCCCTGGGAGAGATAGTCTGTGGATTGCAGTGAGGTGCTACCAATATGTGGATGACTCCCAGCTATATTTCTCCTTAACAGCTTAGTTGGGTGGGTCTGTGGAAGTCCTGAACAGCAGGGCTGCCAGCAACATGGGCCCCCAGACAAAGATTCCACCTGGGCCCCCCAGTGGGACTCTGATCCAAACCAAATATCATAACAAAACAAACCACTTTGCTTGCTGTTACCACGAATCTATAGTATTAAAAGAATTGGTCTGTCTGTCCATTTGACCATTTATGGCAAGCATAACTAGTCAGACAATAAAGCTATGAGACTCAAAAGTAGCCACCACTTCAGGATGATTGTGGGAGTTCCTGGGTCAAAACTGAAAGGCATGGGAATATCCTGGCCCAGGTGAGACCCCCCCCCAAAAAAAATCTATTTGCAATGGAAGCTGTGTATCTGAAAACTGGCCACCAACCTCAGAATGATGATGGAAGTGGCAGTGCCAAACATGAAGGGAATTAGGGCACCATGAACCAGGTTCTCTCCACAATACGCAACGTGTAATGAGAAAGTGTTTAAGCAACCTGTCATGTGCCTCTAATGACCAGATCCCCAACCCACCATGGAAGGTTGCTGGGCATTCTCAGCCAAGCCTACCTCACAGAGTTGTTGTGAGGATAAAATGGACAACAGGAAAACAATGTAGCTTTGGGCCCCCATTGGGGAGAAAGACTGGATGTGGCATTTGTTATAAATGTAATTTTTAATTATATTTAAAAGATTAGATCATTTGTCATATAACAAAGTAGCCTTTAGAAAGGGTTATTGCCTCTTCCACCCACACAATAGTAATGATAACAACCCATTGCCTGAACTGGAAGTTCTAATTTCTGTTCCACATGTTCCACAAATTAACGTTCCATTGCCATGCATGTAAAGGGTGGAGCAGGGGGGAAGCATCATAAGAACATAAGAAGAGCCCTGCTGGGTCAGACTAGTGGTCCTTCTAGTCCAGCATCCTGTCTCACACAGTGGTCAGCCAGTTCCTCTGGACAACCAGCAACAGAGCATAGAGGCCGAGGCTTTCCCCTGATGTTGCCTCCTGGCTCTGGGATTCAGAGGTTGACTGCCTCTGAACGTAGAGATTCCCCTCAGTCACCATGGCTAGTAGCCACTTATAGGTGTTGTAGTGCCACCGCCAGGGCCGTAGCTAACCCCTTACTTGTGGGGGGGCCCTGGGGAAAGGAAGGGGGCCGGAGTGCGCGCACCACACACACATCACTCGGTACTCCTAGCAACGAAGCGGCCCTGAGCACCGGCGCGAGGAGGCGGCGAGAGCCCGGCAGGCTGGCCCAGGAGGCCGCGGAGCCAGCTGGCCACGGCCGCAAGCCAGCGTCTAGCACAGCCGGGGGGGTCCCTGGCCCGCGAGGGCTGCGGCTGAAGAGGGATTCTCTCCTCCCCACCTCCCGGAGAGACGGGATCCCGCCTCTGCTGCCGCCGAGACAATGGGAGCGAGACGGGGAGGCTCCTTTAAAGCCGGGACCGGGCGAGCGAGCAGGCACCTTCGGACTCTGCCGGCGCCTTCGGACTCTCCCCTTGCCGCACTCTGGCAGCTCTTCTGCCACCTCCTGTGCCTCAGCGCAGCTGACTCGGGGGCGAAGAGAGGCGGGCTGGCGCGTTGCTGCTGATCCCGACTGCACCAGCCAAGCCCCCGGGGAGCAGAGGATCGGGAGGGAGGGGCCCCGTAAAACTAGCAGGGGGGCCAGGCCCCGTGGGCCCCATGCAGGCTACGGGCCTGCAGGCATCATGTAACCAGGTCATGTAACCAGGTCATATAACAAGCAGAAATGTCATGGCATTGCTGCAATGGTCTATCAATCCTTCAAAACTCTTATAGTTCCACTCCCCACCCCCAATTTCTTCCACTGTTGCACCAAGCAGCAGTGGGGGACCAGCAGTGGTATGATGTTTCCCATCACAGCAGAAGACCTAGTCCCCTTAAGCTCAGTCCAGACAGGACTGAAATACTGTTTATCAGTAACAAAGCCACTGTAGTCCTACAAATGTTATACTCCCTCTAAAAGAGCAGGCTCATAGCTTGTGGGTGCTTCTGGATCCTGCTCTACACCTGGGTGATTCAGGTCTCCTTTGTGGCATGCAGAGCCTTTTATTGCCTTTGGCTGATAAGCCAGCAATGGCCATTCCTTAAAAAACATGATTTGCCCACAGTGATCCATAATCTGATTACATCCAGGCTAGATTGCTTCAGTGATTTGAAAACAGTCCAAAGAGAACATCAGCTCATTCAGAATATAGCAGAGAGGCTACTATTGGAGGCTTGATAAAAGGATTTTATCACCCATATGGATGGGCATGAACCAGATCACAAACTAAAGTTCAGCACAAATTTTGGCCAGTTCATGGTTTGTGAAGCAGTGTTTGCGAACTGAAGAGCCGCCACAAACTTCCACAAATTTTGATGCAGTTCATGGCAGTTCATTAAGAGCAGAAAACAGCTTAAAATGGTCTGAGACATTTAAATCGTTCCTTTCTGCTCTTCATGAAAAACAGCTGCTGCTCAGCTCTTTGGTTTAAATGGCTCTGAGACATTTCACCCCTAGCTTTCTGCTTGCCATAGCTTTTGGAGGTGAGCAAAAAGCAGTGTTTTAAATGGCTCCAAGCTGTTTAACTTCCTGCTTTCTGCTCCCAATCACTTTTCACGGGGAGCAGAAAGCAGGAGGTTAAACCTATATGAACCAGTTCAGTTTGTGAACTGGCCTATCAGTTGTTGTGGTTCAGCCACAAACCATGAACTGGACTGCAAAAATATGGTCCATGTCCATCCCTATATCATTGGCTGTCTGCCTGCTTCTAGATCAAATCCGTGCTTCAAAGAACTAATCCACTATCAGTTAGGATCTTCCAAGCCATTGTCTCTGTGCCGCAACTGCAGAGGTGAGGTGACTAGAGACTCCTATGCCTTGAGCCTTATCTGACATCTACCTCTTTATCATTTAGGTATCAGGCCATACTTTTAACTGAGAACATAAGAACATAAGAACATAAGAGATGCCAATGTTGGATCAGGCCAAAGGCCCATCCAGTCCAACACTCTGTATCACACAGTGGCCAGAAATACTAGTGCCATCAGGAGGTCCACCAGTGGGGCCAGGACATTAGACATCTTATGTAAATATTTTTTGGACTGTATGTCAACTTTGTATTTTGGATTGTGACCACTGAGGAAGGCCCTTTGGGGCCGAAACGCGTTTGGTTCAGTTGCACAGCACTAACCCATCTATGTATGAATGTTGAGAAGTTTTTTAGGTCTGATTGTGAATATTTTAAATGAGTTTTAAGTTTTTTAAAATGTGTACACCTAAATAAATTTTGTATGTTTATTATATGTAGTGTCAGCTTAACCCTTGTGGATTCATAGCCCCACCCCCACTCCTCCTGATCCTCTGCTCCCCGGGGGGCTTGGCTGGCGCAGTCGGGATCAGCAGCGACGCGCCAGCCCGCCTCTCTTCGCCCCCATGAGTCAGCCACACTGAGGCGCAGGACTCAGGAGGTGGCAGAAGAGCTGCCGGAGCGCGGCGACGGGAGAGTCCGAAGGCGCCTGCTTGCTCGCCCAGTCCCGGCTTTAAAGGAGCCGCGCTTGTGCTGGGCTGCAGGCAGGCGCCGCCGAGTGGCCCGGGCGAGTTCTGTCCTTCAGGACCCCCCGGGGAGCAGAGGATCGGGAGGGAGGGGGCCCATAAAACTAGCAGGGGGGCGGGCCCCATGCAGGCTACGGGCCTGGCCACCGCCCTGCCCTAGTCAAAAGACAAGGCTGTGAACAACCTGGCTGGCTTTTCAAACTCCAGTAGGGATCCCAACCCTTTCCAGGGTCCAGAGTCCCACTCAGAGAATATTGGTAGGGCCAAGAGAAAAAATGACAGGGACACCCTTCTGCCGACCCCCCAGACACACCACCACACCGACAGGTAGCAAAATGGTTTATTTTAGGGCAAAGTAGTACCAATATTCTGTGCACCAAAAGAAGAAACTGGTTTAGTCCCTAGCTAATTTACCTTGCATAGTATAACTCTAGTTGGTCCCAGCGGTTCTTAAACACAACCCCCAGCAAGGGAGCTCCCAGCCGCCGCCAAAGGCAATGGCAGCCGGGGGCTGGTTTGCCGCCGCAAATGAAGGCGGGGCGGCAACAGCGTCCCAGCGCAGTGCACTGGGACGTGGGTGGGAGGAGCCAGCCTGGTTAGGCTCGGCTCTGATCCCGCCCAAGGCCAGTTGCTGCCTCGTGCTCGCCCGCCCGCCCACTCTGTTTTTCTAGTGTAGGCTGAGGCTGGTCGCCTTAGGGGGCCAGGTAGGAATTTTTCGCTATTACCCAGGATTGGCAGTGGGGTGGTAGTGTTTTCGCCTACCTTACACTGGAGCAGTGGAACAACAGTTTTGGGTGTGGCTGTTAAATAGGTTGGTCACTTTGGGCAGAATAGGGCAGGGATAAGGAAGCAAAAAATGGTGAGCACCTTAAGCCGTCCCTTGTTTGGGAACTGGGGGGGTCTTCAGGAACGGCCTGCGGGCTATTAAGGCCCTGGGTGGTGAATGATGATTCCCTATTGGGAGCCTCTTGGGTAAGCTCCGGTCTGCAAGCTGTATGGTTTCAGGGGTAGGCGCTCCTGGGAGGCTACCAGTGGCTGGGCTGCTGGTCGAAAGCCAGATTAATGGCTTGAGGCCAGGGTTGGTGGCTCGCCCACATATTAGACAAGGAGGCTGGTCAGCCTAACACCTGCCTTGTCTGTTCCGCTACCTAGGAAGTGCTCCCTTGCCGATTTTGGTTAATAAACTGTATATAGTTAATAAAGTGGCCCTTGTTTGATCCAAACTGTTGTCCGTCTCGTTATTCCGACTGTGGGGGCAATCCTTTTACGGCAGTCAAACAGGGTATATCTCTACAAGCTCAGTCCATCATGCAGAGTCGGGGTTTGAAGAAAAAAACAAGAGAAACCCCTTCTGTCCTTCAGGAACTTTAAAGTCCAACAACCAATTAAAGAAGGACTTCAATTTTAACCACATTGGAGCTTGGACCACCGGCACCATCTGCCCATGAGGCCTAACCAGGCTCCCCTGCTCCCCTTCTTCTCCAGCAGCAAAGCTGAACAACCAACCCATAACCTGCAGGTGGCCACACTTCAGACTCAGGAACCCACCCTTGGGCTCCAGCTAAGACTAACTACATTTGCCAATTAAAGATATAAAATACCCTCAGTTCCTACAGGTGTATCCTCCATGAATCTATCTAATCCCCTGTTTAAGCTGTTTATTCCTGTGGCCATCACTACATTCTCTGGCAGTGAATTCCACATTTTAATCACTCTCTGTGTAAAGTAATATTTCCTTTTGTCCGTCCTGAATCTCTTTGTCAACTCTCTCCATCTCATGCATAATTTTATAAACCTCTATTGTGTCCCCCCTCAGTCGTCTCTTTTCTAAACGGAAAAGTTCCAGATTCTTCAGTGTTTCCTTACAGGGAAGGTGCTCCAACCCCCTAATCGTCTTGGTTGTCCTCCTCTGTACTTTTTCCAGCTCTGCAATGTCCTTTTTGAGACATGGTGATTTGTATTCCAAATGAGGCCACACCATAGAGCTATACAGGGGCATTACAATATCAGCTGTTTTATTCGCAGTCCCTTTCCTAATAATCCCTAACATAGGTTGAATCTGCATTTGTATTTTTTAAATTAGTTTCATGCTTCTGTGACGCCATCTTTCTCTATGCTTGTTTGAATGTTGTTTGGAGAAGATTTATTTAAAGCAGTGTGGAGGCGCAATTACAATGGAGCCACCACAAGAGGGCGATAAACATATGCAGACATGCAAAAGTATACTTGCACAGTTGAAGTGTGAAAACAAAAGCAAATGTAGACACTTTTTTTGAAGACAGAGTCAGAAGGCTGGGACACTGGTGGGAAAGACAAATGCAGATCCGACCATAGAGTTTGCCTGTTTCACCGCTGCAGCACACTGGGTTGACACTTTCATTGAGCAGTCCACTACAACCACAAGATTTTTTCCCCGCTCAGTCTCAGCAAGTTCAGACCTCACTAGTCTGTACCTGAAGCAGGGACTTTTTGTCCCAATGTGCATCACCTGACACCAACATTGAACTTCATTTGCCACATTGTTGCCCACTCACCCAGTTTGTCAAGGTGCTCTTGAAGCTCTTCAAAGTCAGCCTTGGTTTTCACCATCCTGAATAATTTTGTGTCATCTGCAAATTTGGTCATTTCACTACTCACCCCTAGTTCTAGTTCATTTATAAATAAATTAAATAGTACCAGCCCCAATACAGATCCGTGTGGGACCCCACTGCTTACTTCTCTCTATTCTGGGAATTGTCCATTGATTCCTACTCTTTTCTTTCTGTCATTTAACCAGTTTTTAATCCATAAGAGAACCCGTCCTCTTATCCCAAACTGCTAAGTTTACTCAGGAGTCTTTGGTGAGGTACCTTGTCAAAAGCCTTTTGAAAGTCTAGGTATATAATGTCTGCAGGGTCACCGTTGTCTACATGCTTGTTTGGTTTCTCAAAGAACTCCAAAAAGTTGGTGAGGCAGAACTTCCCTTTGCAGAAGACATGCTGATTTTTCCTCAGCAGGCTTTGTTCCTCTATCTGCCTAACAAATCTATCTTTGATTACAGTTTTTACGAATTTGCCTGGGACAGGTCTGTAAGTTCTTGGTTCCCTTCTGGATTCCTTTTTAAAAATCAGTGTAACATTTGCTACTCTCCAGTCTTCTGGTACAACAGTTGAATTTAGTGATAGGTTACACATACCCAGGAATGACTGTATCCCATAGATTTTCCACATTTCTGAGATACCTACTATATCTAAATTGTCATTGAACACCAAGCACTCCAGCTCCCTCATCTTGGTTCGGAGACTTTTAGGACTAGCATATAGACACCTATAATGTGTTTCTCTCCCCAGTAACCCTTGCCTCCCTTGGCCCCTTAGGCATCACACATGGCCCTCAGTTGCCATTGTGACCTCACTCCCAATGCCTATTATGCTCCTATCAATATTACCCTGAGTGTTTATGCAATGGTCCCTTTGGACTGACTTGTTCCAAACCGGAGGCTCCCCAGCTCCTGTCAGCTTTCCACCCAGGATTAGTTCAAAAGGTGCTCTGACACCTTTTTGATATTAGTCACCAGCAGCCTGATTCCCTTTTAGTTCAAGTGAAGCCTGTGTCTTTCATACAGGTTCTCCTTGTTCCCCATTCTGGTGAAGCCTGCAATCGCTATTTTGTGATGCTTTGGCTAGTGTTAGTTAGTAAACGTTAGTACAATGGCAGACTTCTAGCTCTCAAAAATGCCTTGTAGATGTTTGGGATGCTCCTTCAATGCATTCTGAGAGCTGCAGCTCCCTCAACAATTGACAATAACAATCAGACATTTTAAGCTTTATTTATACCCTGCCTTCAGGGCCCAAAGCAGCTACATCATTCTCCTTTTCTCCATTTTATCCTAACAGGAACCCTGGGAGGTAGGTTAGGCTGAAAGTACATGACTGGCCCAAGGTCACCCAGCAAGCTTCCATGGCACGTCCTTTTCACCGCCAAAAAACTGGCCTTCACAGTGCTATTGTCTAGAACTCTTTTTTTATCCCTTCGATGTGTCATATTCTTATTTGTAGCTTTTCTTACCTGGTATTTTTCAAAGTAGATACTTTTGAATTGAGAGATGCAAGCTTCTCATGCAAGATCTTCAGAATAAGGCAGAAAAACACTGCATTGATCTGATACAGAAAATGGAATGTAAAAAGAATGTCAAACAGGTTCCACTGGAGATGGCGATGCAAGTTCCTTAGCTCTTAACCTGATTTGGCCTTTTAATGGAATGACATAGTTTACAGTTACATGGAAACATGAAGGATGGGGCCACAGATTCTTTACTTAATCTAGTGGCATCAGTGCAGTTATTTCTGGCTCAGTATCACTGCATAATAGGCAATCTTGCATGATAACTAACTAGTTGTGCAGAAGATACAGGGTAAATTTGAGTCTGGAGAGTCTACTGCTGCTTCAGAGTTGTACTAAAGTGAACTAAAGTGAGTGTACAAAGATCCAAATCTTTAAGAACCTTGTGGTTTAGTGAACGGATGCCTATTTCAGTCTTAGCCAGCCCAGGGGTGACAATAAGAATGAAGATCTCTGCCTCCCAGCACTTAAAGGGCTTCTTTTCCTTTAGCAGTTGTGAAGTGGAGAGCTGACTCCCTTCCTCCCTCTCCTCAAGCTGAAAAGCTGCATGCCTGAGTAACTGGCCAGGAAATAGATAAACTTCCCCCTATTTGGAGGAAGTTGCATTTTGTTCTATATTTGCTACAAGAGCTGAACCAGTTTTGTTGCTTCTTATGAATTTCCTCCGACCCTATACTTGATAAAAGAAATATCTTCCCTGCTGCAAAGTGCTGTTAAAGAAGATGACATTCCTACTGTTGATCCCAATGGAACTTGAATCAGGTTTGTTCTTCTCTGTTCAGGCCAGACTTTTTTAAAAAAGCTATTCATTTTGCTGATCTTAGAGAACACAAGAGCCCATCTTTACCTACCACAATTATGGCACAGACTGGTCCCAGAAAGCTCCAGTGAAAACCTTTATCAGGACTAAGCCAACAGCTAAGGAAAAGGAAAGAAGACTATCAGAAGAGCTTTAGGAAAATCCTCAGGCAATGAAACACAGAATAGTTTTTCCAGAGCATGTTTAGTACTCATGCTTAGTAAACTAGAATAGGCTAGCACTGAACTATTCTCTCAACTGAGTCTATTAGAAATGCAAAATCATAACAGGAACTCCCAGCCTGGATAAAAATTTGGAGACATGATGGAGGCAGTTCTAGGTTTCAAGGGTGAGTAGTATTTGTATGCAGTCCTTGCCCTTGGTAGAACTTGTCTACCGAGACATATTGATACAGCAAAGTTTGGTTAATATTATTGTCACACATTGTACTGTATACAAACCAATGGGATTGTATCATGTTCAACACCTACCTACCCTTTCAGTTTTCCCCTGTTGAACTGGGAGTCATTCCTTGAGAAGAGCCCTTTATTTTAATAGAACATTGTTTTAGAGTGGGCATTGGCTATGATGAATTAATAATGCCACACAATGTTGCTCTCTGCTGCAAGAGAATAATGGCCACAACAGAAGAATGCCTAGTTAATGATACTTTGATCTTGGGTTGCCAATTCCAGGTTGGGGGGGTGGAGGGAACCTAGCATGGTGTAATAACATAGAATACATCCTCCAAAGCAGCCATTTTCTCCAGGGGAACTGCTGTTGTCTCCAGGAGATCTCCAGGCCCTACCTGGAGACTGACAACCCTAGTTTGGTCCTACTCAATCCCATGGGGGTTGCAATGCCCCTTCCTGTACTATCCTCAGTGCCACGCACGAATATCAGCTCATTGTCTGGGAATCACTGTGGCAAAAAATCCCTTGTGGAGTTTATTACAGAGTCAGTAGAAAGGAGTAACCTCAAATGGAAATGATTAGGAATAAGTTCTGTTAAAATCAATGGTATTTACTTTTGAGTAAGGAGTTGGGTATGTTCCACTGGCAAATATCATTTGAACAGTAGGTGCCGAAGAGGGATTTTTAAAATTTCTCTACTAAAAACTTCAAAACTAGTACTTACTGATAATGAGTCCCATAGGCCCATGGAGCACTTGCTGCAGAAATTGCTACTACCAAGGCAGGGATCCCATAGCCACAGAGGTACATGAATATCCTCACACGCTTGTTGGCACCACTGTAATTTGCAACTTTCAGATTCTTGACAATGAAGTACAGGTTCACACCTTCCAAGAACATCCACACAAAACAGGCCAGGAAGAGGTAATGTAGCATCCCAGCAATAACTGAGCACAGGACCTGGACAGAAAGAACAGCTGTCTTTCTTTCAAGACTAGATTATTGCATTGCTTTTGCTTTCCTGGTTTTGGACTAAGAAACTGAAATGGTCTGAAACAAGTTTCTAGAATTCTACCATACTGTATTGCAATAGAGCACTTCAATGTCCCAGAAAGAACTATGAGACAACCTGTTCTGGAAGAGTCCCCCATATTACATTATAAGAAATAGAACTTAACAAGAAGGGGGGACCCGCGATACTCACGGGGGGGGGGAGAGCTCCAGGCAGAGCAGGAGGAGGAAGAAGCAGCAGCAGCAGGTAAGCTTCCCCCCATCCCG